ATTGTACTATCCAGTTCTAAGTTTGAGATCAGTGATAGCAGATGCACTATCCAGTTCTAGTTTTCAGATCAGTGATTGTACTATCCAGTTCTAAGTTTGAGATCAGTGATAGCAGATGCACTATCCAGTTCTAGTTTAGAGATCAGTGATGGCAGATGCACTATCCAGTTCTAGTTTTGAGATCAGTGATTGTACTATCCAGTTCTAAGTTTGAGATCAGTGATAGCAGATGCACTATCCAGTTCTAGTTTTCAGATCAGTGATTGTACTATCCAGTTCTAAGTTTGAGATCAGTGATAGCAGATGCACTATCCAGTTCTAGTTTAGAGATCAGTGATGGCAGATGCACTATCCAGTTCTAGTTTTGAGATCAGTGATTGTACTATCCAGTTCTAAGTTTGAGATCAGTGATAGCAGATGCACTATCCAGTTCTAGTTTTCAGATCAGTGATTGTACTATCCAGTTCTAAGTTTGAGATCAGTGATAGCAGATGCACTATCCAGTTCTAGTTTAGAGATCAGTGATGGCAGATGCACTATCCAGTTCTAGTTTTGAGATCAGTGATTGTACTATCCAGTTCTAAGTTTGAGATCAGTGATAGCAGATGCACTATCCAGTTCTAGTTTTCAGGTCAGTGATAGCAGATACACATGCACTATCCAACTGGACAATAAGTGACCACAGTCACATAGACTAAGCCATAAAAGAAGCATAACATAAAAAAACTTAGAATTTGCCCGTGCAAAATTCCTACTATGATCGCAGAAACTTTCAGACAGTGTATTAAGGTGGTCATTCCCTTTAAATTGTGAATTTTTAAGAAAAATAATGAAAAAAAATTTATACTCTAAATAGGTACATTAAGTATTATACTTTAAGATAACATGTGTCTTTTGCCTACAAAAATCCTTATTTTTGAGAAAATAAGGCATCAAGAGGCTTTTTTTTTAAATCTCCTCCATAGCAACGCCTTAGCAACGTGTTTTCTTTCCAATTTTGCATGATTATTTCACTCACAAAGAGATTTTTTTAAATTCAACTTTTGATGTATGTTATTTAAAGCAATGCTGGCAAATCTCTTTGTGATTGGTGCATTTTTGTCGGCATGACAACGCACTGACTTTGCCAACCTCGAGGTCGAGTTCTCAGCAAGCTGTGTTAAATTTGTCGTAGAAAATCGCTGTTTTTTTGCGTTTATAAGTCGAAACGTTTCTCTAAAAGTTTAGAATTACCAGTCTTGTGTAGTTCTGGTTGAAATTCGAAATAAACAGATGGGAAATTTAAGAAATCGATCAAAAAAAAAGCGAAAGCACTATCCAACTGGACAATAAGTGACCACAGTCACATAGACTAAGCCATAAAAGAAGCATAACATAAAAAAACTTAGAATTTGCCCGTGCAAAATTCCTACTATGATCGCAGAAACTTTCAGACAGTGTATTAAAGGCCAGTCTTTATCGTAGCTCATGCAACCAAATGGAGGCCAATTAATGGAATTAAATTCAAATGCATATTCGTGCGAAGCAAAATGCATGGTGGGTGTAAAAATCACTACAACGTACAACAATAACAGTAACAGTAACAACAGCGATAACGGCAACGAGTTACATGTGTTAAATTTGTGGCCTTCCAAGGACAGGTCTAACTTACGAGGGGTGGCACATGTGACCCAACGATGCATGCACGCACAATATTTCAATGTTCCGGTTTTCTCAACTTAAGGTAGCGCTACTTCGTGAAGGCAACAAGGCAGTTGCTATAAGTCCTAACAATAACATGCCAATATTAAACACAATTCCGTAGAAATACGCTTGTTCAAAGAGAGTCACGAATATGAACGGTCCTAGGAGCATCCCAACACGAGCCATAGAAATGCAAGCTCCAACGCCAATGCTACGGTTTTCAGTCGGGTAGAGCAGCGAAGCATAAATGTAAAACACAGTAACTAATGTCATAACTAGACTTCGGGATAGCATTGTCACTACAAGTAATGCAGTCCTTTCGTTTAGGACAAAAAAGGCAACAATTTGTAGTATTATTGGCAGGACAAATAGGGTTAATACCACATTTTTCACTGTAAAAATATAACACCCTACAGCAACTGTAATTGTTATCACCAACTCAGGCAAATTCATCCAAGCCATTGTCGAATACAAATTGCCACTACCTAGTTTGTAATTTTCTGGGCCCTTTACCGTAGACGTGGCATTTTCAAAGCTGGCAACATCAGAGGCGGTGTATACTAAAGCGTAATACGCTATAGTACAGGTAAAAGCCACAATACAAGCGCATATTGTGATTTTCCAATAACCTGATCGAAATAGCTGTGTGAAATCTGCCCGGACCTTTGACTCGTGATCTCGGTTGAGTTTTATGTTGCTCAAGTCCATTTCTGGTGCAAAATCTTGTAAAATATTCAAAGCTTTCTGCTCGTCTCCGGCAGCTAGGTGGTAATGTGGCGTGTCAGGGAGGAATACAATACCAATAAGGAAAAGTGCGGTTGGAAAACACACGATAGCTAAAGCCCAACGAAAGCCGATTACTGAAAGCTCAGTAGAGACTATTGCTGAAAGTAGAAAGCCTAATGTCCAGAATGGGGAGTTTAATACTGAAAACATAGTTCGATATTTTGGTGGGAATAATTCCATAGTCATAACAATAGCCTCAAATATGGTTGCTATCCCAAACCCGACCAAGAAAAGACTTATCCATAACCAGTAATAGTTTGGTGAAAACGCACTTGCAAATGCGAAAACCACTATAAAAGTAGCACTGCCAATAAAACCACGTTTTCGTCCGTATTTGTCACATACCCAGCCCCAAAACCAAGAGCCTACTACCATTCCTGCCGATATTGAGATGGTTAAGACTCCAGCCAGGAACGACGAGATATTCCAGTGTGATTTTATACTTGGAAGTATGATAGATAACATGGAAACTTCTAGAGAAACTGTCATGTTTAGTAAGCCAAGAATTAGGATCAGTTTCAAATGAAGTAATCTCAAGCCTATATCGTCTAGAATATCATCGATTGAGCGAGACTTAAAAAGATCAGCTCTCAAATCCGTAGCGTCGTCGTTATCCGAGATATGTTTATACTTGACATGGTCCTGAGTTGGCTTTGCTTTCGTCTCGTCTGATCTCGCTCTATTAAAAAGCGGCGTAGATTGTATAAACTGTTTCAATTTAGCCCACGACTCCATATGTAATCAATTGGTTGACATCAGAGCGAATGATTTTGATGTAATGCTGCTTATATACAAAGTTAGTTAGGTTGAAATGCTGCAGAGTCTGGCAAGTGCACACCCAAGACTTCAGTCCTTTCCAGTTTCGTCAGCATTAAAAGAAGGACTTCTAAGGGACCGGTCATTATTTATGGCGGTGGCACCGAAGAGAAATGTTTTTCGCGGGGAAAATTTTGCTGACCCAACCATTAAAAAGTCAAAACATTTGATCACCCAACCTCAAATATCAATTGAAAAATAAATACCCACCCCTGACCAAAAACGTTACAAAAGGATACCAGTCAATTGTCACACATGACCTTTACCATGTCTGTGACATGAGTTTGATAACTACTTGTGAAAGTTTCTGCAGTCTAAAGTTTCATGTTGTCTGCAAATGTGTTTTCTTTGGAGACACCATTTGTCTCCCAACAAATCGGAAAATGGTCAAGATAGTGACTCTGATCACAGTTTATAGAAATGCTCTGATTGATTCACATATGGTATTTACACATGACTGCTGACATTGCTTTTCAATCTCCAATATTTCAGTGAGTCATGCTTTGGAAATGACAATATTTGTTTATTACCCAACCCTTGAGTTGTTTTGTTTTTCATTTACCCAACCTTTTACTCGCTCAAAATTTTGTTTTACCCAACCCTTTTCTCTTCGGTGCCACCCCCCCCCCCGCCATAAATAATGCCAATATAACAACCACGTGAAAATCGGGAACGCTGATTCATGGCGCAAATGAAAAATGTCCGTTAAAGTTTTGAATTTCTATCTACAGCAGAGTTTTGCAGTCATCAGGTTGTCGTGACTGAACAAAATCATATAGCATGGGCACACGAGAACTTTCAATTGGTTCGTTGGTGGCGCCGAGCGGAAAATTTTTGAAATTTGGACTGAAGTCTCTACATTGTCGGAAATGGCATTTTCGAGTGCAAACTTTTCCATTTAATTCAATTACAAGGACATGCATATTTTCCTTTTACAAGGACACGAAGTGTGTCAAAAACACGCTCTTTTGTGTTAACTTCGTCTTCGATCGAAATATATATATATATATATATATATTCTTGTCTGTTCGTCAGAATTTGGAACACGTTTTGTTTTTCTGAGGTAGAAATTTTAAAATATCATTAGAATTGTAGCAATTTATGCAAGTGCACACTTGACTGCGTTGGCACAGGATTGCACACTTGCACACCTGAATTTTTGTCTTATACACACCCGGGATCTCGTCGAAAACTGCCGTATACTCTGCAGTCTGGGACTTATTTCAACCTAACTAACTGTCTATATAAGCAGTGTTATATCAAAATCATTCGCTCTCATGTCAACCAAATGATTAAATATGGAGTCGTGGACCAAATTGAAACAGTTTATACAATCTACGCCGCTTTTTAATAGAGCGAGATCAGACGAGACGAAAGCAAAGCCAACTCAGGAACATGTCAAGTATAAACATATCTCGGATGACGACGACGCTACGGATTTGAGAGCTGATCTTTTTAAGTCTCGCTCGATCGATGATATTCTAGACGATATAGGCTTGAGATTATTTCATTTGAAAGTGATCCTAATTCTTGGCTTACTAAACATCACAGATTCTCTAGAAGTTTCCATGTTATCTATCATACTTCCAAGTATAAAATCACACTGGAATATCTCGTCGTTCCTGGCTGGAGTCTTAACCATCTCAATATCGGCAGGAATGATAGTAAGCTCTTGGTTTTGGGGCTGGGTATGTGACAAATACGGACGAAAACGTGGTTTTATTGGCAGTGCCACTTTTATAGTGGTTTTCGGATTTGCAAGTGCGTTTTCACCAAACTATTACTGGTTATGGATAAGTCTTTTCTTGGTCGGGTTTGGGATAGCAACCATATTTGAGGTTTATGTTATGACTATGGAATTATTCCCACCAAAATATCGAACTATGTTTTCAGTGTTAAACGCGGTATTCTGGACATTAGGCTTTCTACTTTCAGCAGTTGTCTCTACTGAGCTTTCAGTAATAGGTTATCGTTGGGCTTTAGCTATCGTGTGTTTTCCAACCGCACTTTTCCTTATTGGTATTGTATTTCTCCCTGACACGCCACATTACCACCTAGCTGCCGGAGACGAGCAGAAAGCTTTGAATATTTTACAAAATTGCGCACCAGAAATGGACTTGAGCAACACAAAACTCAACCGAGAACACGAGTCAAAGAGGGCGGATATCACACAGCTATTTCGATCAGGTTATTGGAAAATCACAATATGCGCTTGTATTATGGCTTTTACCTGTACTATGGCGTATTACGATTTAATATACACCGCCTCTGATGTTGCCAGTGGCAGTGCCCCGACTACGATTAATGAACTAAAAAACGACACATTGGATAGTTCAAGTCGTGATTTGTATCGCATAATGGCTTGGATGAATTTGCCTGAGTTGGTGTTAATAATTTTAGTTGCTGTAGGGTGTTATATTTTTACAGCGAAAAGCGTATTTTTAACTACCGTACTTCTGCTAATAATATTACAGATTATAGCTTTGTCTGTCCTAAACCAAAGGACTGCACTACTGATAGTGACAATGCTATCTCGAAGTTTAGCCAACATATCCACTACCTTTGTTGCTGTTTATGCTGCGCTGCTCTACCCGACTGAAAACCGTAGCATTGGCGTGGGAGCTTGCGTTTCTATGGCTCGTAGTGGGATGCTCCTAGGACCGTTCATATTCGTGACATTATTTGCGGAAGCGTATTTCTACGGAATCGTGTTTAACATTGGAATTTTACTGTTAGGATTTGTAGCAATTCTCTTGTTGCCTTCACGAAGTGGCGCCCTAGTTTGAGAACATTCCAGAATCGATCAGGGACCTGCAGTTGTTCTATAAAGCGGATGCGAGTGAATGAATGACATACAAAAGACTTACGCCCGTATTCTAAAAGCTCACTCACACTCAATGAGTGGAGGTTCAATCTGAGCTTTTCTTGAGTGTCAATGCTGTTTTTGAATAACTGGAGGGTGAGTGACGTACCTTACTATGTGACTACTCACCCCCTCCAGCTATTCAAAAACAGCATTGACACTCAAGAGAAGCTCAGATTGAACCTCCACTCATTGAGTGTGAGTGAGCTTTTAGAATATGGGCGTTAGAAATGTAAAGGTCCAAGACACGATTTCATACTTTTGGGTAAGAGTTCACTCATTCGCATTTATCAGGAGGAGAACATCACCGACAAAATTGCTAGTATGAGGCAAACGTGTTGGCTCCACGCAGGCTATATGTTTGACTGATGTTGGAAGATGTTGGGTCCGGTTTGACATCGGCATTGTTGGACTTCAAACAAAATAACAGAGGTGTACTTTGTGGGAAATTTTTGCACTTTGAAGCGAGTCAACCGTGAAAGTTAAAATTGCTCGCTCCTTTGAACAACGTTTTGCATATATGTAAATTGTTCTGTTTATTATAGCTACACGTTCTTAACTAAGACAGGAACTTGAATATGTCTTAATAGTCAGGGTCAAGCATATATACAGTATAATGATTTTTATGGGGAGAAAAGGTAACTTAGCATGCAGAAAGCCTTTCTTTAATTAATCAGACCAATTATGGATACAGTACAAGGTGTCAAAACGAGATTCGAAATCGCATCTTTGGGTTTCATCTCCCAGATTAAATTTGCGATGCCCACTAATAATTGGCTGTGTAAAGATCTAACAATCCGATTTCGGGAGAATCACTGATCAATGCGACAAAAGAGATGCACTGTGTCCAGTTGTAGTTTTGAGATCAGGTTGTACAACTGATCTCTAAAGTGCAATCCAGGCTAGTTTTGAGATCAGTGATAGCAGATGCACTATCCAGTTCTAGTTTTGAGATCAGTAATTGCACTATCCAGTTCAAAGTTTGAGATCAGTGATAGCAGATGCACTATCCAGTTCTAGTTTTGAGATCAATGATAGCAGATGCACTATCCAGTTCTAGTTTTGAGATCAATGATGCAACCACCCACTGGAACGCAATTATCTCTCAATGGTTAACCATGGGTGGTCAACTATGCAATAGGCTTTTGAGGACAATACAGTAAGTGACTGCAGAGCACGGAGAGCTGTGAGATTTGTAAACAAAGAAGTAAGACAAAGATTTTTGCAAATTTTTTCCCTCCTGCAGATATTATTATGCAAACTTTTCAGGCGAGCGGCATGGGGCCTGTACAACATAATTCGCTCTGAAATCAACTAAATGGTAACTATGACTCTCTATACTAAATTGAAACAGTTTATACAATCTACACCGCTTTTTAGAGCGAGTTCAGACGAGACAAAAGCAAAACCAACTCAGGATCGTGTCCTGTATAAACATATCTCGGATGACGACGACGCTACGGATTTGAGAGCTGATCTTTTTAAGTCTCGCTCAATCGATGATATTCTAGACGATATAGGCTTGAGATTATTTCATTTGAAAGTGATCCTAATACTTGGCTTACTAAACATGACACATTCACTTGAAGTTTCCATGTTATCAATCATACTTCCAAATATAAAATCAGATTGGAATGTTTCATCACTGTTGGCTGGAGTCTTAACGTTCTCACTATCAATTGGAGTAATAGTGGGCTCTTGGTTTTGGGGCTGGGTATGTGACAAATACGGACGAAAACGTGGTTTTATTGGCAGTGCCACTTTTATAGTGGTTTTCGCATTTGCAAGTGCGTTTTCACCAAACTATTACTGGTTATGGATAAGTCTTTTCTTGGTCGGGTTTGGGATAGCAACCATATTTGAGACTTATGTTATGACTATGGAATTATTCCCACCAAAATATCGAACTATGTTTGCTTTATTAAACTCGGTATCTTGGACATTAGGCTTTCTACTTTCAGCAATTGTCTCTACTGAGCTTTCAGTAATCGGCTTTCATTGGGCTTTAGCTATCGTGTGTTTTCCAACCGCACTTTTCATTATTGGTATTGTATTTCTCCCTGACACGCCACATTACCACCTAGCTGCCGGAGACGAGCAGAAAGCTTTGGATATTTTACAAGATTTTGCACCAGAAATGGACTTCAGCAGCACAAAACTCAACCGAGATCACGAGTCAAAGAGGGCGGATATCACACAGCTATTTCGATCAGGTTATTGGAAAATCACAATATGCACTTGTATGGCCTCTTTCACCATCATGATAGCGTACTACGTTTTGATATACACCGCATTTGATGTCGCCAGCGGTAAAAATACGACGTCTACGGTAAATAGTCATGAACAAAATAACCTGGGTAGTTCGAGTGGTGATTTGTATTCCACAATGGCTTGGATGAATTTGCCTGAGTTGGTGATAATAATTACAGTTGCTGTAGGGTGTTATATTTTTACAGTGAAAAATACATTGCTAGCTCTATTATTACTGACAGTAACATTACAAATTGTAGCCTTGTTTGTTCTAAACCAAAGGACTGCATTACTTGTAGTCACAATGCTATCGCGAAGTCTGGTTGTATCAACAATTGGCGTGATTTTTGTTTATGCTTCGCTGCTCTACCCGACTGAAAACCGTAGCATTGGCGTCGGAGCTTGCTTTTCCATAGGTCACGTTGGGATGCTCCTAGGACCGTTCATATTCGAGACACTCTTTGAACAAGCGTATTTTTACGGGATTGTGTCGAATATTGGGATTGTAGTGTTTGTATTTATTGCAATTGCCTTGTTGCCTTCACGAAGTAGCGCTGCGCTTGATTGAGAACATTCGTGAGTTTGGCAACCAACAATGGCGACGGCAGAAAACAAAATTACTTGTACAAAGTATTTTTTATTTGAAACATGAGTTAAATTAAATTTAAACATTGCTATTGGTTGATTTGGCTAAAATACAATACACACATATCGACGAAGGACCAGATTTTTGCATAAAACCTAGACTAACATAGTTAAATGAGTTGTATTGTAATTCCATCCAGTTACCAAACCATGTATTCTATTAACTATGCTCGCCATTTCCCAATCGAGCAGAGTACTGGGTCTAGTTGATGTTTGGAGGGACAACATTACAGTGAGCGAGCTAAATATATATTAAAAGATGCCTTATTATAATTGTTGCGTTTAATGACTTTAGGAACGTAGGAAAACTTCCTAGATGGCATATTTGGCGTATTGTTTATTTTTTGTCCTTCCAAACAAGCGACTAGACCCAGTCCTCTGCTCGATTGGGAAATGGCTAATTGGTGGATTTGGCAAAAACACAATACGCACGTGACGGTGAAGGACCATGTATTTGCATAAACGTTGACTGACATATGTAATGGTTATATTGTTATTCTAATGACACGCCACATTACCACCTAGCTGCCGGAGACGAGCAGAAAGCTTTGGATATTTTACAAAATTGCGCACCAGAAATGGACTTGAGCAACACGAAACTGAACCGAGAACACGAGTCAAAGAGGGCGGATATCACACAGCTATTTCGATCAGGTTATTGGAAAATCACAATATGCGCTTGTATTGTGGCTTTTACCTGCTCTATGGCGTATTTCGCATTAGTATACACCGCCTCTGATGTTGCCAGCTTTGAAAATGCCACGACTACAATTAATGAACTAGAAAACGACCTATTGGATAGTTCAAGTCGTGATTTGTATCGCATAATGGCTTGGATGAATTTGCCTGAGTTGGTGTTAATAATTTCAGTTGCTGTAGGGTGTTATATTTTTACAGTGAAAAGCGTATTTTTAACTACCGTACTTCTGCCAATAATATTACAGATTATAGCTTTGTTTGTCCTAAACCAAAGGACTGTATTACTCATAGTGACAATGCTATCTCGAAGTCTGACCATGTCATCCACTACCCTTGTCGTTATTTATGCTTCATTGCTCTACCCGACTGAAAACCGTAGCATTGGCGTTGGAGCTTGTTTTTCCATAGGTCGTATTGGGATGCTCCTAGGACCGTTCATATTCGTGACATTATTTGCGGAAGCCTATTTCTACGGAATTGTGTTTAACATTGGATTTTACTGTTAGCATTTGTAGCAATTATCTTGTTGCCTTCACGAAGTGGCGCGCTAGTTTGAGAACATTCCAGAATCGATCAGCGACCTGCAGTTGTTCTAAACTCGTATATTTATATCATTTTAATCACTTTCTTGTACATAGCACGTTGTATCACTGTAAAAACCTGATTCCGATATGTTGCCCATGCAAGGTCTGATTCCACGACGGCGAAATTCTTCGCGAGAGATTGTGTCTGCGAAATCCAGATTGTTGCACATGAGTGATCCATTGAATATTCACACTTTTTCCGCTTTCGCAGTGAATAGAAGTTATAGAACTGACTTCTACTCACTTGTGAATCAAAATGTTTTCTCGCGAAGCCTAATTTATCTTCACTGCACATGCAGCTAATTCATTTCGCGCGAAATTTTTCGCATGTCGCCGAAGAAAGCGCCCGTGGAATCAAGTGAACATTAAGGAAGAAAATTATGTCAGATAGACAAAGGATTTTACTCATCAATAACAGAAGAAAATGGCCGACTGTATAAAACTACATGTATAAATTTTAATTGGTTATCGTTCCATGTTTCGTACACCAAATATAGATTAGGGTTAGGTATTAGGGTTAGGTTAGGGTTAAGGGTTAGGTTTAAGGTTAGGGTTAGGGTGTGTATATATGTGTATGGAGGTATCCAGTTAACTTTTCAGGACACTATAACATCCATTACATAACGTTTACTATATTGGTGCGCGAAACATGGAACGATTACCAAAAAATTCCACTCCTTCTACAACGCGTTAGTTATATGGAATGAGATGCCAAAAATCCCGAGTATAGCAGATGCACTATCCGGTTTTAGTTTGCGGTCAGTGGTATAACCATCATTGGAATGCCAATTATATGGTCAACCACGACTGGCCAACCATATCCTCGTGTTCTTCGATAAATGTTGTTTATAATACATAGCGGTATGCAGACTGCCTACGTGTAATATCATATAATTCACTCATAAATTATTATTATTAAGTCAGTACTCTAGACTTTGTCACGAAGAGTATAGACCAATTTCCTATAGACTGTGTAGGTTACTAAGTTTGCAAGACGATCATATCATAACAAAATGTATGGATGTTGCACTTCGTGCCACTTTCTACATATTTTGTAAAAGAAATAAAAACTGGTCTTGCCCACTGCTCTTGCCCTGAAAAGCTCAACTTCTATTTTATTCAGACAACTGTTGTCTTATTTGATATATTAATTGTAGTTAGGTAAAAAATTGGTCTTGACTCCAAAATGTATGACTTTATGGGTCAGGATATGTAAGTGATTTGCTTGCAAAGGTTAAAAAAAATATTATGTAAACTAATTTAACCATGATGGCCTTTCAGACTAGTCAGTAATCTGTTTTTCAAAGGGGCCGTGCTTACAAAATATTACATGGTTAGAACTATACTAACACAATAATTGGACACTTCAGTCATTGCGGTAATTTCCAAGATATCTATGGTAATTTCTAATTAAGTGTTTAATTTAAATGAATGAAGAGAAAGACTCTATGATCATAATTATTGGTACACTCTTGGCAAAATTGGTACATTCGTGGCAAAAAAATAGGCTCTCATATCGTCTGTGGGCCATTATTCGCCGTCTCTTTGTTGAAGCGCTTGGGCAACAAAATTTCACACCATATATCCGCGCACGAGAGAAACGTTCTGAACTAGACGCCACGTGACGCGGTTAGCTCGCCAAGTTTCGCTCGTGTTCCGATGGTTTTACAGTCCACCATGGCTGGTCAATAATAAACTCAACAGCTATCATTTTTAAATTGTTAAAAAATTTTTTACAAAATGGCAAACATAGTTGAAATAATTGTATTTTTAACCATACTGTAGGTATGTTATTTTACATTTTGTGAGCTTTGATTTAATATAAGATTTCATTTGAAACGCTTCGTAAAATGTTTCTGACATGTTCATTCAACTAAATGCGCTATCCAGTCTGAGTTTTGAGATCAGTGATTAAAGCCTTGTAATTGCACCATCCAGTCCCAACTGTTAAGATCAGTGTTCATGTTGAGCAGATTTACAATCGGTAATTGTGAGATCAGTGTTAGCACATGCACTATCCAGTTTGAGTTTTGAGATCAATGATTAAAGCCTTGCAATTTCACCGTCCAGTCGTAATCTTAAGATCAGTGTTCGTGGTGAGCAGATGCACTATCCAGTCTGAGGAATGCTAAATGCCTCTAATTGGTTAACCATGACTGGTCAACCATAATGCTCCACGCAGGCTACCATAATGCATACTGTTATACATTATAGTTCACTCTGATGTAAACCAAAGGTTAAACCATGGAACTCTATACTAAATTCAAACAGTTTTTACTATCCATCCGGCTTTTTAGAGCGAGTTCAGACGAGAGGAAAGCAAAGCCAATTCAGGCACATGTCAAGTATAAACACATCTCGGATAACGACGACGCTACGGATTTGAGAGCTGATCTTTTCAAGTCTCGCTCCATTGATGATATTCTAGACGATATAGGCTTGAGATTATTTCATTTGAAAGTGATCCTAATACTTGGCTTACTAAACATCACAGATTCTCTAGAAGTTTCCATGTTATCTATCACACTTCCAAGTATAAAATCACAATGGAATATCTCGTCGTTCCTAGCTGGAGTCTTAACCATCTCATTATCGGCAGGAATGATAGTAGGCTCTTGGTTTTGGGGCTGGGTATGTGACAAATACGGACGAAAACGTGGTTTTATTGGCAGTGCCATTTTTATAGTGGTTTTCGCATTTGCAAGTGCGTTTTCACCAAACTATTACTGGTTATGGATAAGTCTTTTCTTGGTCGGGTTTGGGATAGCAACCACATTTGAGACTTATGTTATGACTATGGAATTATTCCCACCAAAATATCGAACTATGTTTTCAGTATTAATCTCCATATTCTGGACATTAGGCTTTCTACTTTCAGCAATTGTCTCTACTGAGCTTTCAGTAATCGGTTATCGTTGGGCTTTAGCTATCGTGTGTTTTCCAACCGCACTTTTCCTTATTGGTATTGTATGTCTCCCTGACACGCCACATTACCACCTAGCTGCCGGAGACGAGCAGAAAGCTTTGAATATTTTACAAGATTTTGCACCAGAAATGGACTTGAGCAACACAAAACTCAACCGAGAACACGAGTCAAAGAGGGCGGATATCACACAGCTATTTCGATCAGGTTATTGGAAAATCACAATATTCGCTTGTATTGTGGCTTTTACCTGTGCTACATCGTACTACGCTTTAATATACACCGCCTCTGATGTTGCCAGCTTTGAAAGTGCCACAACTAATGAACTAGAAGACGACCTATTGGATAGTTCAAGTCGTGATTTGTATCGCATAATGGCTTGGATGAATTTGCCTGAGTTGGTGTTAACAATTTCAGTTGCTGTAGGGTGTTATATTTTTACAGTGAAAAGCGTATTTTTAACTACCGTACTTCTGCCAATAATATTACAGATTATAGCTTTGTTTGTCCTAAACCAAAGGACTGTATTACTCATAGTGACAATGCTATCTCGAAGTCTAGCCATGTCATGCACTACCCTTGTTGTTATTTATGCTTCACTGCTCTACCCGACTGAAAACCGTAGCATTGGCGTTGGAGCTTGTTTTTCCATAGGTCGTATTGGGATGCTCCTAGGACCGTTCATATTCGTGACATTATTTGCGGAAGCCTATTTCTACGGAATTGTGTTTAACATTGGAATTTTACTGTTAGGATTTGTAGCAATTATCTTGTTGCCTTCACGAAGTGGCGCGCTAGTTTGAGAACATTCCAGAATCGATCAGGGACCTGCAGTTGTTCTAAGCTCGTATATTTATATCATTTAATCACTTTCTTGTACATAGCACATTGTAGTACTGTAAAAACCCGATTCCGATATGTTGCACATCCACGACGGCGAAATTCTTCGCGAGAGATTGTGTCTGTGAAATCCAGATGGTTGCACATGACTGATTCCATTGAATTTTCCCACTTTTTTCGCTTTCGCAGTGAATAGAACTGACTTCTACTCACTTGTGAATTGAAATGTTTTCTCGCGAAGCCTAATTTATCTTTACTACACATGTACCTAAGGGACCGGTCATTATTTATGGTGGGGGGTGGCACCGAAGAGAAATGTTTTTCGTGCCAAACATTTTGCTGACCCAACCATTAAAAAATAAAAAATTTGATTACCCAACCTCAAGCATCATTTAAAAAATAAATACCCACCCCTGGCCAAAAACGTTACAAAAGGATACCATTCAGTTGTCACACATGTCCTTTACCACTTCTGTGATACGACACTTCTGTGATACGGCTTGTGAAATTTACTGACTTTTCTGCAGTCTAAAGTTTCATGTTGTCTGTATGTTTACTTTCTTTGGAGACACCATTTGTCTCCCAACAAAACGGAAAATGATAAAGATAGTGACTCTGATTGATTCACATATTGTATTGAAATATGACTGTTGACATTGAAGTTCTCAGTCTTCAATATTTGAGTGAGTCATGCTTTGAAAATGACAATAAATTTTTATTACCCAACCTTTGAGTTGTTTCGTTTTTCATTTACCCAACCTTTTTCTCACTCAAAATTTTGTTTACCCAACCCTTTTCTCTTCGGTGCCACCCCCCGCCATAAATAATGACCGGTCCCTAATTAACCTATTACCTAATGAACAAAATTTTGATTTAGACAAGTCTGGACAAAAATTTCATCACAGCTTGAAAAAGGATCACAACATTAGTAATATTCCAAAGTTTCGTTGCGAAATGTTGTAAAATGCGGATAATATAGCCCTGCGAAGTTTGCCGTTTTTCAGTCATTTTGTATTACGCACCGGAAATTGATACCGCTTTCTGAAAAAAGCGAATGAAAAAAGAAAATGAGATGCCCAAAATCCCGTATCATAACAAAATGTATGGACGTTGCACTTCGTGCCACTTTCTACATATTTTATAAAAGAAATAAAAACTGGTCTTGCCCTGAAAAGCTCAACTTTTATTAGCTACCAATGCGTGGCAGTGTAGATAACGGACCTGCTTTATTCAGAGAACTGTTGTCTTATTTGATATATTAATTGTAGTTAGGTAAAAAAATTATCGTGACTCATAAATGTATGATCAAATGGGTCAGGATATGTAAGTGATTTGCAAAGGTTAAAAAAAATATTATGTGCCTTATTTAACCATGATGGCCTTTCAGACTTCAGTAATCTGTTTTTCAAAGGGCCGTGCTTACAAAAATATTACATGCTTAGAACCATACTAACACAATAATTATTTACGAAATTAGCCTATAATATCTATGATGAATATACTAAAATATAACTATTTACAAAATTTGGGTTTTAATAATAAAAACTTACAGTCAATGAGTACTGATATAAATTGGACACTTCAGTCATTGCGGTAATTTCTAATTAAGAGGCAATTTTTTTCAATGTCACGTATTTGAAATGAAAAGTGTTCAAAACCTAAAATCTTTTTGGCGTTCCTTTCAAAATTACTTTGTTTTAGCTTTTTTCTCTAGTTCATAAGAGTTAGCAACCTTTTCAAATGCATCTGCCAGTTGAGAAACATAAAATAATAGTTAAAAAATGTTTAAGTGAATGAAGAGAAAGACTCTCATAATGAAGAGAAAGACTCTCACTCTTGACAAAACTAGTACACTATTGGCAAAAATAGACTCTCATAAACATTGGTATCGTCTGTTGACGACAAAAGGGCGTGGTCTCTGAGTATGGTCATTCCAAATTAACTATTGAATTACATGTAATTTTGGACTTGAACATATCTTTACTCTCACGAGATCGTGCTGGACAATATGCTTTATTCAATTAAAATAACATATCACAATTCAATTTGGCAATCATTAATTTACCATTAATATACGCTAAATTAGGAATTTTAATGGCCATTTGCATTATAGACCAAATGTTGATCTTGACAAAAATTTCATCACAGCTTGAAAGAGCATCACAAAATTAGTAATATTCCAAAGTTTCGTTGCAAAATGTTGTAAAATGCGGATAATATAGCCTTGCGAAGTTTACCGTTTTTCAGTCATTTTGTATTACGCACGGGAAATTGACAGCCCAATCGGGTGTTGGGTCATCAATTTCCCGTTTGTAATACAAAATAACTGAAAATTGCAAATTTCGCAAGGCTATATTATCCGCATTTTACAACATTTCGCAACAAAACTTTGGAATATTACTAATTTTGTGATGCTCTTTCAAGCTGTGATGAAATTTTTGTCAAGATCAAAATTTAGTCTATAATGCAAATGGTCCATTGTTGAAATATCATAAGTAATGCAAAAAAAAAAAAACACTGACAAGAATCACCATTGTTTGCCGACGAGGATCAAAAATATATTTTGCCTGCCAATCATGATTTTAACCATGCCATTTTCAACTTTTATTCTGAAAAACGTCGTTTGCCAATGGCAACCGACAAATATCTTTCATATCACATCTTCATTTGACGGTAATTTCTTTACTTGCCGATTTGCATAATTTGACGACATTTTTTGGGACATTTCAGAGCAATAAATTATTTGTATTAAAAGTTCCCTTAACCAATCATCCATTTATCGAATATTTTTCGTTTGTTGACAAATTCTTCCAAATAGTCATACAGGGTTCGTAGCGGTCTTTGAAATCCTTGAATATCTTTAGATTTGAATGAAGATCTTTAAGGTCTTTGAAAAGTCTTTGAATTGTGTGAAAAAGCGAAGAAAGTCTTTTAAAGACTTAAATTCTTTTGCGAGGAATTGATTATACGATTTCCTAGCTAATAAAATAGATTGATTGAAGCAAGATTTTCGAAAATATCGACGAAATAGTGCATTTTAGGATGTGATTTGACGGGACTAATTACTGGGTAAAAATGGTGCTTACACTCGGCATTTTTTGACAGCTGATTGCTCTCAAAGGGCTTTGAAAAGTCTTTGAAAATAGGCAGAAAAAATCTTTGAAAGTCTTTGAATTGTTTTGGTCTTGGAGACTACGATCCCTGTCATATGAACACGGAAATTATTCATCCTACTCGTATAAACAGGCCCTATCTCAGAGTTTCGAAGTTATTTTAAAACTTTCTTTTATTGTTACAGGCGAGACAAGCGTGTGTTTGAGCAATACCAGAAGGCATCACGGGCGCTGCCTGATAAGAAAGAGAGAGAGGAAATCACTTCACTGAAATCAAAAGTATGTTCAACCCAGTTCCTTTGTGAAACTGACTAGTCCTTGTCATGTGTTTGTATATTTGTTCACGAGGAAAGCTAACAAACTACATTCTTATTTTACTGTATTTCTGCTGGATAGCTCTATCCTGGGCCGCACCCAGCGGGCTTTATGATGTCATAAAGTTTTCCAAGGGGTCCTTATTCTCGGTTTGGGGTCCTCCCTTTGCTTAGCCCCCTTTTGAGCTAATACACAATAAAGTGTTTATATAGAGACTAATACATGGGTGCGCGGAAATACCAGATTTATTTCGAGTGTTGAACATGATATCTCACGAGTGAGCGCACCGCTTTTCCCGTTTTACAATTATGATGTCATGGGGACCCCATGGAAAGTTTTGCGCCGGGACAACCTCTCGGACCGTATAACGGACCGTATCATCTCTTATAACGGACCGTATCATCTCGTTTTCCAGATAAACGAACTACAAGAGGACCTGAAGCTACGTGAATCACGTTGGTCAGCGGCTGCTACCCGATACAAAGACCGCATCAATAATCTCGAGAAGGAAAACAGGGAGATGAGAGAGGAAGTGAAACTGTTGGAGAAACAGAATTTGGATTTACAACGAAAGGAGCAACAGAAAGTAAAGCCCTGAGCAAACTAGGAAACATTGTTGCGGAAGCATTGATTGTTTCCTGCCAACGTTTCGCCATGTTTCCCAGAGTGGGCAAACACTAGGAAACATCAGTGAGAAACATAGGGAAACATCATATGTTTCTGAATTTGCTAGGAAACATTTTTGCTTCTCGGGAAGCAAATTTTGTTTCCGCAACAATGTTTCCACGGGTGGGGAAACATGGAAACATTTGATGAAACATCGAGAATCGCAAATGTTTCCACAACAATGTTTCCTAGTTCGCCCAGGTCATAAGCTTGGAGCTCGTGCAAGCCAGTGAGCTCCATACATTTCTGGAGTGAGAACTCGGGTCCAAAAAGTGCAAAACCCAGACGTTGAACAGAAAACAGAAAAATATTTTTGTGTTTGTTTTTCCATTTAGATTCGTGAATTACAACAATTTAAAGCTTTTGAAAAGAGGAAATTAAAAAAGCCCGAAGCAGGGACAACTGATCTACATAACGGTACTATTTTTTGACAAAAAACCTACATTGCCTATAGGTCTTAAAATCTATGAAATTTACACATTCCCATTTTATAGAAATGCCAACTAAGCGAAGTCCAGCTACCCATGTACCACAAAACATTGAACAAAAGCTGAATGAAATTACTCTAAACGAAGATGAAAAAATATACTCTGCACCCAAGAATGTTTCATCTCCTGAGACGAAAACTGCACTTGAACATGCTGGTACCATTGAAATGCGAGGAATTGAGAAAATAGATGAAGATGACAGTGCGGAAAACAAACGGGACAAAACGAGGGAATACTCGCCACCGACTAAGCAAGTGAGTTCTTCAAGAAGCGTTCGGTTCAAGGACGACGCACATGAGGAAGAAGAGAAGCGACCTGAAACCTTGCCTAAACAGCTTCATAGCGATGGAAAGGTAGGTGGCTGGTATCGAAAAATACTATTGCACTTCACTTGGTTAAACTAGAATGCTGGGTAATCCATGTGAGCATATATACACACAATTTAAGACTGAACCAGGAACAGTTGCAAAAAATGCAACACTAGGTCCTCCGGCAGGAATGGAACCTGTGGCC